AACTTCATTCCTTCAAAACCAAACAAAATTACATTCTTTGAAAATAAGCGTGATTGTTGTTCAGTTATAGGTACTATTTTACAGTAATCAACATTCTCAATATACTGGCAGGTGGTTATCTGTAACTCATCTATTCAACGAGGAATATCACTGTCAGTAGAACAATATCATGTTCTTGTAGTGTATAATGCTAATGCCTAAATATTATCTAATTCTAAGTTACATGTCTCTTTATTTCACTTCACAAGCTAGGCACAACTTGCTTAAATTATTATGAATTCAAATTCATGTCATATTCATTTTCATTTCTATTCATTTCTATTGTGACATTGATCAATATATAATTTTTTTTGTATTTTGTCATTATCATCACTATTATTATTATTATTATCAATGGCAGTTGGAGCAAGGTTAACAACATTAAAAGCTGCACAATAAGTCTACTGTTAGTAGTAAATTTTTTATAACTATACTTACGATCTCCTGCATTTCCTTTGTTGTTCAAGCCATTTCTTCTTCAGTCTTGGTACAATATAAGAAGCTTGGTTATTTCTTCTTAATGCCCATAAATCTTTGTCTTCTAGCGGTCTTTTATAACCAGTTTTAATTATCCTAAAAAATTAATAACACTGCGATTGGGCCTTTGGTGCTTTTAAAGAAGACTTAAAAATACCATAATATTATTGAGTACGGCCATAACGTTCAGCTGAGCTCAGATGTGACTTTTCAACATTGCAATTCCTACTTTTATATTGATTTTATTTACTACAAGAGTGAATGGGCGGATTTTTTTTTTAAAAACCCATCTTGAATTCTGTTCAGTTTGAATGTAAGACAACCATGGGAAGAAAAAAAACTTTGAGAATTCTTTAAGAAGTCCAAGTTCCTTCCAGAAAAATGTACTTATTTCTAACAAATCTGTTTTATTAAAATCTGAACTGCATACTGGTCAAACTGGGATACTGTTAGGCATTGATTGTCTTTTTTTTCTTTTTTTTGAACAAGATGACAAAACAAAAGACAAATTTTGGAGTGCATGGTCATGTTCATGTCACAAGCAGTCCGAAATGTTTCTTTTACAATAATTATTTTTCTCACCAGTTCAACCACCAGAATGTAAGCAGAGAAAAACAGTTGGCTTTATCTTCAGGATTTTGTTTCTACAATAACAGCAACAACAAGATCAGAAAAAAATATTGATGTAGTAAATTTAATAAAATTGTATTACATATTATCATATTTTGTTAAACATGGCTTCTTAATTAGCTCATGACTGATGTACTGTAACTCAAATCATTACAAAGAAAAGTATCACTTGATTGAAAAAAAAGGCCTTAAATGCAAAGAATTTTTTAATACATATTACATTTATTTAATCAGGACAATCCTAGATATTTTTATACGATACACTCTATGGGGCCAATCAGCTAGGACACTAAAATGCAGTCCTCTAAGGCCTCCGCCAAACATCAAACTTTTCATGAGACGAACCAAACTTATTGAGTAAAGTCCATGAAAAGTTCAACATCTGCCTCATTTAAGTTCATCTGAATGAGTTTGGATCGTCCAACACATTCTATCCATCTGCTTCAGATCAATGAATAGAGAACGTCTGAAGATTGTCTCCAGGGCAACCCTTGATTTTCACATGCAACAAACTAAACAAATAAATAAGTGTTGTTTGGCTAAAATTGTTTTTTGGTCTGATTAATGGTTCGACACGTCCTAAAATTTACATCTGACCCAACAGACGATCTTAATTTAGGTCAACCCAAATTAGAGTTTGGTTCGAACGTCTCATGAAAAGTTCAACGTTTGGCCTAGGCCTTACGACAGTCCTTTAATTTGAATATTTTGACATTTAAAACTGTTACTGAAACCTTCTCATATAGTAGTTTTTAGTCTGACATGATCACCTACAAAGAACCAGTCGTCCTTACTTCACACACAAACACTTCGCCTTTAATTCTCTACATATGTACAACGTCATGCTTAGGTAATCTAGAAAATTTTGTTAATGAATTTATCTAATTATTTTCATGCTGTTAATTCTAAATAAACAAGACCAGCTGTGTTCTGTTACATGTGTCAGCTGTAATATCAGTTTCAACATAGTACAGGGACCGGAGCTGTTGTGCATGAAGCTAATGAGTACATATAATTATCTGAAATTACGAATAGATAAAGCTCCAGCTGGAGTCATCAAAAATGACTTGGGGGCTGAATTGATAATGAGTGTTCCTCTCCAGGTAGGTCAATGAAGACAGCATTAGTGCTACAGGTGTAAATACAAGATCCTCAAATTTCAGATCTACACTGGTTTAGCAACTGTGAAAATTAAGTCTTACCCTGTGCACTTCCTTCTGATAACTGTCAGAAAATGAAGCCCAAGCATCATCAGTAAAATTCTCTGAAGATGCATTATGATATGAAGAATTGATATTGTTAGAGTCAGTAGCATTCTCTGGGTAACTGGCATCCATCGCCTGATCCATGTGTCATACAACAATGATTTTCTTTTCAATAATGGTAGCTTGCAAATTATCAGACTGTGAGAAGGAGAAATATAAAGAATAAGGAGGCAATTAGCTTGCAAATACTTGTCTAAAACTAAGGAACAAAAACATGCATGCCAAAAAGGTATATTCATTCACAACAGTTTCCTCTTGGTGAGCAGCCAGTGATTTGTACCAGCATACTATTTTTTTCTAGTCCGTAGCAAGTAGAAAATAACGCTAGCTGCAACTAAAATATTTAAAGCAAAAAATGCCAATTTGGCTAACATGCCCACTGCCATGTGTCAATTAGCCATACTGGTATAATTATTAGCTTAAGTGTTTGGGGTCTTTAACTACAGTTATAAAAGCGAGTTAAACATTGAGATATTATTTAAGCCCTCTTTTGAAAAAATATGGCAGCCATTTCGATTATTTTATGCAAAACCAATATGTTATTTCTGGCAACGACATTATAATAAGGGTTGGCAAAAGGTCACTTTAAAGAAATGTTGATGTAGGGGAGCACTTTGTACTGGTAATAATGTCATTCTCTTTCAACTAGTATTATTAATACTATTAATATTCTTTTATATTCATTGGTATTTTTGTTATTGTAAAGATTAACCATATGATTACCATACCCGATTTCACACCAGGCTATATTTCTGAATTTGATTTATACTTTTTCAGCTGTCGTTGTTGTTGTAATAAATTATTTACTAACAGAATGTAGTCACGCAACAGTACAAATGATAGGATAAGTATTTAATTAAGCAAAGCGTGGAAAAAAAAGTCCCCAGAAGTAATGTTAAAGTTACTCGACGCGATTTTAAAAGCATGAGTACATGATGTAAGCAGTGCATTATGACACAGCAAATTAATAAAACAGCTGACTGGGCAAGATGGCAGAAGAACAGAGAATAATGAACACCGGCAATGATTTGCTTCCATGATGGATCTAGCTAATTTCAAACGTATATGTTTTTCTATAAGGCGTTGAAAGATGTACGTGAGCAAGTCATGCATTCTTTAAAATTGCTTCAAACTCCGGATGGTATTGACATACATGTAGGCTTCGTTACATGTATTACATTAGCTTAAAGCTAAGCTAAGCTAAATGTTAGCGATGGGCCATCATGTGAATTTAATACTGTTTGCAAAGCTTGTTTCTATTAAGGAATCAAAGTAACCTTATGAAGCTTTTCAATTGATAAGCTTAATAAGGAAGAAAAAAACTCTTACCCTGTAATTTGCAAATTATTGTTTAACGCCACCTCGTGTAACAATGAGCAGAAATGCCGGCCTTGTGTTGGCCTTGTGGGTTTACCTGGGAGCGATTGCATCACAGTTTGCAATTTACTGCCATCCACAGGAATCCCAAGCTATCGGACCGGATCATGGATCGGATCACCGGAACGGAGAAAGAATGTGGAACACAGAAATAGTCTAAGGATTGAAGGTACCTGTCTCTGTTAGTCTGCATGTTTATTCCCAGCTAGCCAGTATAGAGAAAATGTCAGCGAAATCTATAAATTACTAAAAACATGCAAATGTTTGAAATTTGAAAACTCGGCGATAACCACGGGCAGCCGACGATCTTTTTTGTATTCAGTAGACGAAATACAGATTAACATTCCGGCGGCTATTATTTACTGTGAGAGGTTTGAACCCAGGATTCATTTCATAAGTAGGTGAAGCATGATCGTCTGGGTGAGCGTAGTCCTCAATAGGACTGTTTCGACAACCTGTGCGGTAGTCATCTTCAGAGTCAAAGTGAGTTGTATCACTCACTTTGGTTATTGACCTGGTCCTCGTTGTTCAAACGCAGGGGCGGATCTAGGGGGAGGGTGCAAGGGGTGCACACCCCCCCCCCTGAGATGACCTGTGGTTTTCTAATACAAAAACTAAAAACTATGTGGTTTATTGGTGTTGAAGTAGAGCAAGAGACGAGTGCACCCCATCCTGAAAAAAATCCTGGATCCGCCCCTGAAACGTTGGATAGTGCTATCCACCAGATAAATTTCTATCCAACTGATAACACAATTGTTTCCCGTAATGCTTATCCAGTGGATACCGCTGTTCAAAGATTGAACAAACGAGGCCTGATTGGTCACTTAAGCCGCCGTGATGTTATTGGCTATGAAGACTCTTAAATGTCACTGGTGTGTTTCGTGATTTGAACGTAGATTTTTCTACAAAAGTTCAAACGAAGAGAGTGACTTAGTGATTTGTAATGTTGTTTTGCCATCCCGTGCTGTTTAGGCGTTATTTGGCGAGATAAAATAATAATGAGGCATCGAGCTGAGGACTAAGTAGAGAGGAAAAAAAGCTGAATGGAGGAAGGAAGCAAGCAATGAATCGTGAATGAATGAATAAATGAATGAATGAATGAATGAAGCAAGGAAGGAGGGCGGGAAGGAAGAATGGATGGATGCATGGATGGATGCATGCATGCATGCATGGCTTGATGGGTGGGTGGATGGATGGATGGATGGATGATGGATGGGTGGATGGATGGGTGGGTGGATGGATGGATGGATGGATGGATGGATGGGTGGATGGATTGATGGATGGATGGATGGATGGATGATATGGGCGGATGGATGGATCGGATGGATGGGTGCGGATGGACGGGTGGATGGATGGATCAAGTAGGGCTTTCCACAAGTTCCTCGAGATTTTCGAAAAAGTTTCACGTAATTTCTCAAAACGTTGCTCAAAAGTTGCTTTTTGTAACGAAAGTTGCTCAGAAGTTCCTCGAAAATACAAATACTCTTTGGGGTCTGATGCTAAAATATGTAAATTATACAGCAAAAATAAGATTTCTAAGCATTTTTGTGAAATTTTGGGGCGTAACCAGCGTTTTCCGGCAATTTTCGTCTCGTGGGAGAGAATAAGCCGCGAACCGNAGGAAGAAAAAAACTCTTACCCTGTAATTTGCAAATTATTGTTTAACGCCACCTCGTGTAACAATGAGCAGAAATGCCGGCCTTGTGTTGGCCTTGTGGGTTTACCTGGGAGCGATTGCATCACAGTTTGCAATTTACTGCCATCCACAGGAATCTCAAGCTATCGGACCGGATCATGGATCGGATGACCGGAACGGAGAAAGAATGTGGAACACAGAAATAGTCTAAGGATTGAAGGTACCTGTCTCTGTTAGTCTGCATGTTTATTCCCAGCTAGCCAGTATAGAGAAAATGTCAGCGAAATCTATAAATTACTAAAAACATGCAAATGTTTGAAATTTGAAAACTCGGCGATAACCACGGGCAGCCGACGATCTTTTTTGTATTCAGTAGACGAAATACAGATTAACATTCCGGCGGCTATTATTTACTGTGAGAGGTTTGAACCCAGGATTCATTTCATAAGTAGGTGAAGCATGATCGTCTGGGTGAGCGTAGTCCTCAATAGGACTGTTTCGACAACCTGTGCGGTAGTCATCTTCAGAGTCAAAGTGAGTTGTATCACTCACTTTGGTTATTGACCTGGTCCTCGTTGTTCAAACGCAGGGGCGGATCTAGGGGGAGGGTGCAGGGGGTGCACACCCCCCCTGAGATGACCTGCGGTTTTCTAATACAACTGGTATTCTGCAAAAAAAAAAAACTATGTGGTTTATTGGTGTTGAAGTAGAGCAAGAGACGAGTGCACCCCCTCCTGAAAAAAATCCTGGATCCGCCCCTGAAACGTTGGATAGCGCTATCCACCAGATAAATTTCTATCCAACTGATAACACAATTGTTTCCCGTAATGCTTATCCGGTGGATACCGCTGTTCAAAGATTGAACAAACGAGGCCTGATTGGTCACTTAAGCGGCCGTGATGTTATTGGCTATGAAGACTCTTAAATGTCACTGGTGTGTTTCGTGATTTGAACGTAGATTTTTCTACAAAAGTTCAAACGAAGAGAGTGACTTAGTGATTTGTAATGTTGTTTTGCCATCCCGTGCTGTTTAGGCGTTATTTGGCGAGATAAAATAATAATGAGGCATCGAGCTGAGGACTAAGTAGAGAGGAAAAAAAGCTGAATGGAGGAAGGAAGCAAGCAATGAATCGTGAATGAATGAATAAATGAATGAATGAATGAATGAAGCAAGGAAGGAGGGCGGGAAGGAAGAATGGATGGATGCATGGATGGATGCATGCATGCATGCATGGCTTGATGGGTGGGTGGATGGATGGATGGATTGATGATGGATGGGTGGATGGATGGGTGGGTGGATGGATGGATGGATGGATGGATGGATGGGTGGATGGATTGATGGATGGATGGATGGATGGATGATATGGGCGGATGGATGGATCGGATGGATGGGTGCGGATGGACGGGTGGATGGATGGATCAAGTAGGGCTTTCCACAAGTTCCTCGAGATTTTCGAAAAAGTTTCACGTAATTTCTCAAAACGTTGCTCAAAAGTTGCTTTTTGTAACGAAAGTTGCTCAGAAGTTCCTCGAAAATACAAATACTCTTTGGGGTCTGATGCTAAAATATGTAAATTATACAGCAAAAATAAGATTTCTAAGCATTTTTGTGAAATTTTGGGGCGTAACCAGCGTTTTCCGGCAATTTTCGTCTCGTGGGAGAGAATAAGCCGCGAACCGGCGAAAACGAGTCGCGAGGCTTGACATTTCCTGTCACGCGGAGAAAAAAATCAAGTAAGACCAGTGTATTTAACAATTATTCACTACCTTCAGGTAACCTTCGTGAGTAAGTAGTCGTCACTAACGCTTGCCATTTAAAAGTAAAGGTTTTCAAGATTTCCTCCTTCCTCCCGATCGAACCTCAAAGTTCGCTTGCCGAGCTTCAAAGCAGCCTAAATGCTGTCGGTTAAATTGCTGTAAATCTATTCGCTAGTGTTTTCTCCCATTCTACAGCATTACCATTTTTCGAAAAGATTTCAGAGGGCAACCAAGCGCGGTAAATTCTCGTGTGCTGCTTGGGAATTTGATGTTGTGCTAAACTCGAGACAATAGGAAATCCCAGAGCAAGAACTAGGCCAGGTATATGACATCGCTTCAACGTTCACTCACTTTTGCGCCCATGTTGAGACAACTTCAAAAGTTTTCAATCGACACGAAATTCGGGAATTTAATAGTACACTGATCAATTAATGTACTAAAAACGTTTGTTAAAAAATCTATCGACGAAATTTTGTTTTAATTGCTGTTTCCGTGAAAGTGGCCTTAGAAATTACAAAAAGAGCTCAGCATTGTGTTTTACCCTGATTCATACGTTCTCATGTGTTTCGAAATCGTGCTAGTGTACTTGCGTTCAGCGGCTTGTAGAGTGTATGAGGGTCATTTGTAANTGGATGGATGGATGGATGGATGGATGGATGGGTGGATGGATTGATGGATGGATGGATGGATGGATGATATGGGCGGATGGATGGATCGGATGGATGGGTGCGGATGGACGGGTGGATGGATGGATCAAGTAGGGCTTTCCACAAGTTCCTCGAGATTTTCGAAAAAGTTTCACGTAATTTCTCAAAACGTTGCTCAAAAGTTGCTTTTTGTAACGAAAGTTGCTCAGAAGTTCCTCGAAAATACAAATACTCTTTGGGGTCTGATGCTAAAATATGTAAATTATACAGCAAAAATAAGATTTCTAAGCATTTTTGTGAAATTTTGGGGCGTAACCAGCGTTTTCCGGCAATTTTCGTCTCGTGGGAGAGAATAAGCCGCGAACCGGCGAAAACGAGTCGCGAGGCTTGACATTTCCTGTCACGCGGAGAAAAAAATCAAGTAAGACCAGTGTATTTAACAATTATTCACTACCTTCAGGTAACCTTCGTGAGTAAGTAGTCGTCACTAACGCTTGCCATTTAAAAGTAAAGGTTTTCAAGATTTCCTCCTTCCTCCCGATCGAACCTCAAAGTTCGCTTGCCGAGCTTCAAAGCAGCCTAAATGCTGTCGGTTAAATTGCTGTAAATCTATTCGCTAGTGTTTTCTCCCATTCTACAGCATTACCATTTTTCGAAAAGATTTCAGAGGGCAACCAAGCGCGGTAAATTCTCGTGTGCTGCTTGGGAATTTGATGTTGTGCTAAACTCGAGACAATAGGAAATCCCAGAGCAAGAACTAGGCCAGGTATATGACATCGCTTCAACGTTCACTCACTTTTGCGCCCATGTTGAGACAACTTCAAAAGTTTTCAATCGACACGAAATTCGGGAATTTAATAGTACACTGATCAATTAATGTACTAAAAACGTTTGTTAAAAAATCTATCGACGAAATTTTGTTTTAATTGCTGTTTCCGTGAAAGTGGCCTTAGAAATTACAAAAAGAGCTCAGCATTGTGTTTTACCCTGATTCATACGTTCTCATGTGTTTCGAAATCGTGCTAGTGTACTTGCGTTCAGCGGCTTGTAGAGTGTATGAGGGTCATTTGTAAAACGAATGAGTGATAAAACCTTTCCGGAAACGTCCAAAAAGTAGCAAATTTGTCTATATTAAGTCCACTCTTCAATGCATGCGTGATTTATTATAGAAATTCCAAGATATGTCGAAATTTCTCAAATAGATTTTTGTGAAACTTCGCCCAGCAGAAGACAATTGTATCTGAAGAATACGTAGCGTAAAGCATTTCAAAAGAAAATGCCGAACAGGGCTGAAATTCGATTTAGAACCAAAACCATTGTCACGTCATTGCCACGTGACATTTATTCCGATCGCTCAAAAAATAATACCATAATATAGTTTAGTCTAAGTGTAATCCATGTGTCATAATTGTTTTACAATACAGATTGATTTGTTTAAGTATAAGAGATTCAAAGATGAAGGGTGTGCCTATAAAAATACTGGGTCGAGCCACCTTAAAGTTAAGAGAGATCGAATAAAGCATGCCTCTAAGTTGTAAATTAAATATTTTGAATGAATATATAGTAAAACCAAATTCTGAACCTGGCTTGGGTATGATAGGATGACGAGGCTAATAACACCCTCCTCCCCATCCTCGAATTGCATAATTCTTCATATCATACAAAAGGCAGATCCAATAATTGCTTAATATTCGCTTTCGCCAGGCTCACATAAGAAGTATTGCGTTGATAACCGCCAAAACTGTTCTCAGATTCCCTCGGGACGTATGGATGCTTGAAGAGAAATTGTAAACAACATTTATGGACATTTTTGGCGGTAGGTTAAGGGTGTGAAAATAGTGTCTAAAAAAATAACACACGTTGAGTCGTTTATTTCAACGGCCATTTCATTTGACTCGAAATTTATTGGAGTACGACTGTTTCAGTTCTTGCTATGAGATGAAATAATAATTTTAAGGAAAAATGCATTAAAACAAGAAGAATATTACTACAAATTTAAAAAAAAAATTAAACTGCTTAATCAGGCAAATTTTTTGTGACAAAATTGGTTTATACATAATAGTAATAGTTATGCTCATATGTATTTTGGAAGAAGAGGAATTCTAAGACTAGAAAGCTCAGAAAAAATCCCAGTACCACGTGAGAATCTAGCTCACAAGTCGACCCACCGAGTTCTAGTTCGGACGCTCTAACCACTGAGCTACTGGAGGCTCAGTATCGCGAGGAGGGTCGAAAGTTTTAAATTTCGACCCTCCACGCGATTCAGAATCTTGTTTTGGTCGGTTGTAATTGCATAAGCTCTCTGTTATGTGAGATTATTTTTTGTAAGGTTCTCTTTCCTGCTCAACCGTGAGAGGTTTGTCTTCGGGTACTTCGGATTCATGCAAAAACCAACCTGTCAGATAAATTACATTTCGATGTACAAAGTGTCTCCAGCCTTAGTTAGGAACCCTTAGAGGGAGAGGTTTATCAGTTCGTGAAACTGTCAAGTGTCAACCTTTCTAAATAAAGCGTTATGGGCCCTTTCTCATGCTTCCTCATATCTGGTTTCTGAATCCTTACTAGGATATGATCGGATTTTTTGAAACCGCGACAGGTTAGTCTCAAACTCTTTGAGGAAAAGTCTACCTTAAGGGGGTGGGGAGAGGGAGCCTTCTCCCTAACCGTCCCCCACCCACTAAGTAGATTTGACACTCATCCAGGAAGGCCGCGAGATATCGCGTGATAACAGGTTTGTTGTCTGAAATCTGTTGGTGAAAATCTAAACGCGTAAACGTAATTGACGTGGTCGCAAAACGAGTACAATCAAGCTTTGTTAATACGGATACGAAAGGGACGGAGCCTAATGTCCGATATACAGATATACAGGTCAGGAGTTTGTTACCTCGGAACCTGCAATACAAAAGGTGTGCATAAGGAGAATTTCGACTGTTTATGGGATCCTGAATGGTGCACCTTAGAATCCAAGGTTAGTTCCATTGCCAGCCTAAGATTTGCCTTCAAGTCGACTTTTTGAGGGAAGAAGTCGCGAGAAGTTTTTCCTCCTGACCTTTTACCCACCCTAAAACTTACTTTAAAAACGTCTCTGCCAGCCTCAAAGAAAGAAGTTTGCGTTCGAATTTACACTCCCTGAATCTCTGTAAACTTAGAAAATCGATATTAACTACTTTATACAGTCTAAATCGTTGTTTTGAGAGTGGTGATTTAGACTGCGCAGGCGCGCTCTAGAGCAGAAGAATTTTTAAGAATATAGAGTCACTACGGTAAAACAACAAGAAGTGAAAGAGAGGAAAGAGGAAGGTGAAAAGCGACGAGAAATTGTAAACAAATTGCTGGAAGGAGAGCGCACTCTCGCAAACAACCGCGACGAAAGTTACCAAGTTTAACGCTGGAGCCGGACTTCATAGTAGCGTACTGTCCTATGCCGAATTAATCGACTACGGCAATGCCGCCTACTTTAGGTTATACTGGCTATTCCTAAGGTTAAAAAACTTTGTAAATCCTACTTCATCCTAAACGTATTTTTCAAATGCAAGCATCGATCGATAACACTTATGGTTACAACCCTTTTAGAGGTGAAAGTTTGCTCTCGAATCAGATAATCAACTAGGCAGGTCTCATTTTGGATCAATCCAAAATGAGACCTGCCTAGTTGATTTTCTGATTCGAGAGCAAACTTTCACCTCTAAACGGTTGTTTGACCGAGCTATTTAGCTCGAAACGTGACACAGTTTCACCTGTTTTGAGCTTCGGGTTGTTAGCATGGGATTCAAAAATGGCAGCATACCAGCAGTTTCTAAAGCACATTTACTGGAATTTTATGGAGTCCGGCATCTCAGGGATTGGAATATGGCTTAATTTGTGAGTCAGTGCCAGTAATGAATTAGGTAAGCCGTACTTTTGACAAAATCTGCTTGAGATAGATCCGTTACGCTAAACCTGAAAATACTGGATCGT